CCATTTCCATACCACCATGAGAGACAAGCACTGAACCATCAGTGTAGATTAAAACAAGAGCTCCAGCCTATAACATAACTTACATAGCATGGCTCGAAGGGATGCGGGTCAAAAGGCGCAATTACTGAGAACCTGGAGAGGGTTTCAAGAGCTGTGTTATTAGAAAAACTCCAGTGGTGGTTGATTCGTCTTTACCTGATTTAGCTGCTTGAGACCGAACCCTATCCCAAATCGCGTTGGCATCATATAGATGCCTCGTTTTCTGTATTTGTTCGATCTGAAACAAACAAAATCTCAAAGGGTTGAGTTGTTGTCATAATATTGGATATAGAAGCATAAAAAGGTTTGAAAAACCGATTACTTAATCTAGGTTTTGAGAACATGAAATGTGAGCACCACTGAGCGTTGTGGGCACGAGGAGAAGGAGCAGGAAAAGAGGTTCTGAGGGCCTGTACACAGGTGGAGTTAAGCCAGTCGAGGTAGCCATACCCTCCCAGTTCATGGAGATGGGAAACGTTAAGTCAAATCGACTTTGTTCAATGACTTAGAATTTCTTGATGAGTCTTTTCCAGAAAGACAAAGACTGGTCAAGAAACTCGATTGACATCGCGGCCGGAAGAGTTTGCAAGGATAAAAGCTCAGGACGATTTTGCAAAACTGTGGATAATTGTCTAGATTATCGTTCGGGATGGAAAAGAATTTGAGGCGAAATACGGTTTTTTTTTTCTAGAAATGTGTTTCAGATTCGTAAATACTTATGTTGCGCCGTATGGATTATTCAGGGAGCTACCCGCACCGGGCGAGTAGCGCTTGGGATAAATTTCCTATAAACTTCAGAAATAGGCAACCTGTTGAACTCTCTGACGAGTTTCAGTCGTTGTTCATAGTTGCTGGCCTCTTTGCATTCGTACCATGTTCTTCGTATATTACATTGTCGTAAGTGCATTCCAAATGGTGTGCAATCACCTTCTTCATACATGTTGATTTCGCGAATCTGTAAACAGTGGGCTGATTTGTTTATTTATTAATTTGTTTATTCATGCGTCTCATTCGCATACCCAAGGGGGTGAACACTGCGAATAAATTAAAGTAAAAACAATACGTTGTTTGAGGGGAAAAATCGTTCAAAAAACAATAAGTAGCGAAAAAATATGCAGGGTATTGTATCAAGCGTCGAGATTGTTTTGTAGAGATCGTGAAAGGGAGTGGGAGTACCACTTCCAACTGAAACGCAACTGACTTGACAGCAGGTGGAGGAGTCAGAAGTGGTGCCCTTTATCGGCGTTAACGGCATCAATGGTACTCACCGAGACCCCAACGTACGAGTATACAGTACTCATTACCCTCGTGGACCCGCAATTGCAAGAAATCCAGTGAAATTAATAAACTATCCTCTCAATTTCGAAACTTTGGCTTCGATAATTTTGGTACACTCTGATCAAGGTGCTTTGACCCCCCTTCGACTACTGATTAACAATTAGTGCACTTCAATAACAGTAACTGTTTCAGAATACTGGCGTCTTACCTTGTCGTGATCCAAATTGAGCTCTTCAGCTATATGTTTCACCAACGTTTCCGTGCAGAACATTCCTTGCGGTCCACCGAAACCTCTAGAGAAAAGATATAAACAGCGTCTTACGTCGTGCGAGTCTTCCAATGTGAATGGTATTCGATTAGGCCTTCTTTCTATGAACTATTCTATAACAGCCACTGCATGCATTTGAATGCTCTTGAACCCTACTCAAAATCAAAATCGACCTCAACTTGACATTTAGCCCTCTTTTTTGACAGTGAAGACCAGTAAGCCCACAGCAGAACGGCTTTCATGATGAAATATCCAGTAAGTCATCACCTGCTTGTTGTTCACTTTATTATGGGTAAACTAAGTAAACTACCTGAATGCTGTGTTAGACGCCAGATTGGTTTTACATAATCGTCCCTCTATATCGGCATTGGGAAATTTGTAAACATTGTCAATGTGGACCATTGCACGCTCTTAAACAGTTGACATTCAATGGAAGGGACCGCTCGAAAGAAATTATTGTCGGTAACTCACGTACAACACCGAGTGAGAGATCGAATGTGTGACCACAGTTGCCATATGCAGTCACAGAATAGTCACGGAATTTTCCAGAAGAGTCCAGTGCCACCTGAATCAAGCTTCATTCCTTGAACTATGGATCAACTACGTTCTTAAGCCTGTGAGGACGAGTTTTGCTGCTAAAACTACGTTTGGTTTCTTCCGCCTATGCTGTAGTAAAGAAATTGTGATTTTGTGCGAGTTGTTATTTCTCCCTCCTTCCATGCGCCCATTAACGTTTCCACGGGAATAGCTCATTTAGAGAGGGTTGACAACTTATTCAGATATCAAAAGTAGTCTTCAATAAACCTTAAAAAACCTTAAAAAACACTTTCTGAGAAGGTGCCGCAATCAGCATGCGTCCCATTCTTGCTCGGTTATCAAGGCATATTGTGGTTTCTTGTTGTGCACCTCTCCGAAGCCATTCTACTTCGGCGTTGCCTTCATTGGCGACCGGTTGGCTGCGGCTACTCAACAGACCCGAGCAGTGCGATGAAGTTGGTCAGAGGAAGAAGAGAGAATAACTGTTTCGGAACTACATCGGAAGTGATGGAGAGTTAGCTCTTAACTGACAAGCGTCTCATCCTTACCCTTCTTCATCCGCAGCCACCTGATAGAACCCTAGTTGAATAGATGAGCGCTTCGATGAGACATAATTCTTTATGGTTACAATAATCTTGTGCCGTACGAGGTTGTTAGGTGGAACTTTTATTAATCACAACGGCCTAACGTTTCGACGTTCTCGTCGTCTTCAGAGGCCTAAAGCAATTCGAGACATTTGCACAGTATCCAAAAAGCGCA